CCCCTGGTTAATTTTTTTTTTTTTTTTTTGTAGAGACAAGGTCTCTCTAGGTTGCCCAGGCTGGTGTCAAACTCCTGGCTCAAACATTCCTCCTACCTCAGCCTCCCAGGCCTCCCAAAGTGCTGGGATTACAGGCATGAGCCATGTGCATAGCCCATCTTATTTTTGATGCATTTCAAAATAAGTTGCAGACAGCAGTCCACTTTACTCCTAAAAACTTAAGCCTCCATATCCTTAATCATATGATTTATTTGCTTAGACATATTTTTCCAGGTAAAATTCATGAACAGTGAAGCACACACAAAAAAGTCTACCATCCAGTGAGTTTTGAGAAATGACGGAAACCCAAGTGAAGGCGCAGAACATTTCCAACACACCCCAGAAAGTTTCCAAATGCCTCCTTTCCATCTTCTCTTTAGTGGCTATGAAATGCATATGTGCAACTGGGCACAGTGGCTCACACATGTAATTCTAGCACTTTGGGAGGCAGAGGCAAGAGGACTGCCTGAGCCCAGGGGGCTGAGACCAGCCTGGGAAAAACTTAGCGAGACCTCGTCTCTGCAATAAATCAAAAACTAGTCGGGCATGGTGGTATGTGCCTGTAGTTCCCACTACTTGGAAGGCTGAGGCAGAAGGATCGCCTGAGCCCAGCAGGTGGAGGTTGCGGTAGCTGTGAGCATGCCACTATACTCCAGCCTCCTGGACGACAAAAAAAAGAAAGAAAGAAATGTGAGAGAGTGTGAGTGTGTGTGTGTGTGTGTGTGTGTGTGTGTGTGTGTGTGTAGAAGGAGACTGCTGGACAGCTGGACTTTCTGTACCTAATAAGCAGTAAAGTCAACAGAGAGCCCCCATAGCTATGAAACTGAAAGCTCCAAGTAATTCAGAGGCATCAGCATTTCTTTCTGTCTAATGATTTTATATACAACTTAGGAAATAACATTAGTTTTAGGCACAGTGTGTTCATTTCCTGGCACATTTGGAGCCGTGAGTGCCCACCTAGCAGTGAAGTGTAAACACAACAGGGTTCAGCCATTGCCACTCATCTTTAAGGCTTGTTTAAGCAGCTCCTAATTCTGAAAAACAGTGGTGCTCACAGCAGCTGCTGGGAGGCAGCAGACAGTAGCCACTGGACCAGGCCAGACCAGGTGGGGTCCCAGCATTTGGGATTGTGCAGATGTGGAAGTGACGGTTGTGGTGCATTCGCCAGTGAACAGAGTACTTATCATGCCATGGTTGCTGGTTACCTGGGCATTGCCTGCCCCTCCTAGAGAATTGTGAGGCGCAAGTACTCAAAGCATCAAGAGTAAGTTGAAGCCGGGCTCGGTGGCTCAGCCTGTAATCCCGCACCTTTGGGAGGCTGAGGTGAATGGATTGCCTGAGCCCGCGGGTTCGAGACCCACCTGGGCAACTTGGCGAGACCTCATCTCTACAAAAAATCAAAAATTAGCCAGGCGTGGTAGCTAGCGTGCGCCTGTAGTTCCGGCTACTCGGAAGGCTGAGGCAGAAAGATCACCGGAACCCAGCAGGTCAAGGCTGCGCAGTCTGGGTGGCGGAGTGAGACTCCAACTCAAAAAAAAGAGTAAGTTGAATCACATTCTATGTAGCTCCTTGAACAACCCTTTCCTCTCTCCTTTTTCTCTGCTACCCACTCCCTTTATACCTTGGGCATACACGCTGGTCCCATAATCAACTTTTACTGAGGCTCAAGGTCTTATTCATCTCTGAACACCCTCAGCCACTGACAAAGTACACTTAGTTTGCTCTTAGCAGACATAATCACAGACATGGACAGCTGATGAGCACTGACTATGGCATAACTCAAAACATGGCAGTGGCAGCGAAATCTCTGAAAAATGCCAAATATCAGGGTAAGGTATCAGCTATACTATCTGGTGATGCTGAGGTCCACTTCTGGACCACCCATCCTACGTCCTCTGGTTGACCTGACTCTAAACCTTTACAACAAGCAACAAAAGCTAGTTTGTCGGGCATCAATCAAAACACACTAGAGGCAGACTACATGTGATGTCAAAGCAGTATACTTGTGAATATAATTCTGCTCACAAACATGTCACAAAACCACCCCCAAACGCAACATCACTTCTCCCTGTTAATTGTTGTGAACTATTTGCTTAACCCCCTATAGAAATGTTGACTGCACATGCATGGTGGTGCACACCTGTAGTCCTAGCTACTTGGGTGGCTGAGGCAGAGGATTACTTGAGTCCAGGAGTTTGAATATATAGTGAGTAATGATCACACCATTATACTCCAGCCTGGGTAACAGAATGAGACTTCATAATTTTTTTTTTTTTTTTTTTTTGAGTTGGAGTCTCACTCTGTCGCCCAGACTGGAGTGCAGTGGCTGCTCCCAGTCACCGCAGCCTCGACCTGCTGGGCTCCGGCGATCCTTCCGCCTCAGCCTTCCAAGTAGCTGGAACTACAGGCACGCACTACCAAACCCGGCTGATTTTTGATTTATTGTAGATATGGGGTCTCGCCAAGTTGCCCAGGCGGGTCTCAAACCCGCGGGCTCAGGCAATCCACTCACCTCAGCCTCCTAAAGGTGCGGGATTACAGGCTGAGCCACGGAGCCCGGCCATAATTTTTTTAATAAAAATAAACATTGGTCAAGCACAGTGACTCACACCTGTAATCCCAGCACTTTGGGAGGCCAAGGCAGGAGGATTACTTGAGTTCAGGAGTTCAAGACCAGTCTGGGCAACATAGTGAGACCTCATCTCTACAAAAAAAATCAAAAAGTTAGACTGGAGTAATGGCATACACCTATAGTCCCAGCTACTCGAGAGGTTGAGGTGGGGGACCAGGAGTTAAAGTCTGCAGTGATCTATGATGGCGCCACTGCACTCCAGCCTGGACAACAGAGATCCCAAATCAAAGACCAAAAAAAATTGGCTGCAAAGAGTAGAGGGCAAGGGGCTCAGCAGTTTAGCGTGGCGTGTCCACCCCTTTCCACCATCCACAGGAGGAATACATGAAGAGAATCAGCCCTAAAACAGCGTGCCAGAAATGAAAGGCAAAGTAAATCTGATGTACCAGCGTAACACCACTGGCCCAGACTGAAGACGTAAGCACATCTTTGTTATGGTTTAGGGAATAAAATCCGACACCTTCTTCTACTCCGCCCACGAAGCAATGGCAGGATGGCTAGCATCTTCAAGTGGTCACTCTGACAACAACCTGGGCCCCCCCCCCGGATTTCCTGCCACTTTATCTCCCAACGGCAGGCCTTCCTCCATACTCTCTGCACCCTGTCCAGCTACCTCTCTCCTGGCTTCCTCTCTCCGGGCCTGCGACCTACTGCCTCCAGCCTCCCCTCACACTCTATTCCTGCAGCTGAGTCCCTCGGGCTGCTGACATCCTTTGTCACCACTCTGACCACCTACCCCAGATACAAAGCAAGGAAGGAAGCCACTTGTGTTCAAAACGGTCAGTCCCTGAATGGGAAAGATCTCATAAGAAGTCAAATAGGTAGGAAAAGATTTTACTCCCGTGGGGTGTGGTAAAGGGATAGAAAAGTAATTCATGGAAAAAAAATGTAGGGGAGAAGAAAAGCAAATTTCATATTCCAGGAAATGTGTCTACCATGGGCCAGACCCTGGGCTTGGAGTTTTCTTTTCTTTTTTTTTCTGAGTTGGACTCTCACCCTGTCACCCAGCTGGAGTGCAGCGGCACGCTCACAGCCACCACAGACTTGACCTACTGGGCTCAGGTGATCCTTCCGCCTCAGCATTCCAAGTAACTGGAGCTACAGGCATGCACCACCATGCCCAGCTAATATTTTGATTTACTGTAGAAATGAGGTCTCATCAAGTTGCCCAGGCCGGACTCGAACCA